GTAAACAAGTTCTCAGCTTCTTTTCTCAGAGAAAAACAACTTTTTACTCAAAGGCACGAGTTTCAACCGTGAATTTTGGAGCTTCGACAAGACGGAGGTTTTTTCCCGAGGTCTGCCTGTTAGCTTAGCTCGTAGCTTAGCTTCTCAGCTTAGCTGCTTTTAACGATCCAAAAACATGAGTTTGAATGTTTAAAACAGATTTTAAAGAGAAAAGAGAAAGAGAGGGGTCAGTGAAGAACCGGAGTTGAGTCTTTTGTCATCCAGTGTCTTCAGTAGAAAGAGACATGAAGAAACGATAAAGCTGATAAATGAAAATGAGGGTGATCATTTTCATTTATCGTGCGGTTGATTTATTGTTTATGGTGACAGGCCTAACTAAGCAAAGAGGCTACATGAAGCTTTTCAGAGTTCCTAACTCTCAGTGAAATTTTGATTTATAACTTGTTTTAATCAATAACGCTTCTCTTAACCTCTTCCTTCCCTCCAGCATTTGAGGATGCGTTTGAGTAACACTTATTCATTCATATTTTGTTACATATGTGCTTTACGTTTAAAGTTATGATACAATATGATTATGATATGATTATATTATTTGTGTTTGGAGGTTTTTAAATATCTAGCAGAGATGGCAGGGTGGTTTTTGACTCGATTATTCAATGGCAGTAAGTGAGAAAATGTCTGAGGAATGGAGAAAAAGTGTGCTGGTGGCCATTTTTAAGAACAAGGGTGATGTACAGAGTTGTAGCAACTACAGGGGAATTAAGTTGATGAGTCACACGATGAAGATCTGGGAGGAAGCAAGACTTAGACGAGAGGTGACTGTGAGCAGCAGGATGGTTTCATGAAGAGAAAGAGCTCCACAGGTCCTTCTTTGATTTGAGGATGATGATGGAGAAGAACAGAGAGGGTCAGAAAGAACTCCATTGTGTCTTTTGGAGGTACTTGGGGCTCCGTACAAAAAGTGACAGGAAGAGAAGAAGACTTCTCCCAGTGAGTGTTCAGAACAGATGAGCAGAGAAGCTGCAGGAGCTGACGGTGTCAGGGAGGAATCACAATCAGGACGGTGTTTCTAAATCATTAGATGTTAACATTTCCATGGCTGTCCCTGGATCCTTTTATTTTATTTATTTAACTTTCTCTGAGTAGGGAGACAGGAACCCCCTTGGACCCACTGCCGCTGTAAACCGGCTCAGAGCACTGCAGATGCAGCCCAGCTACAATGGTTGATACAGACAGGTTGAATTTATAAAGACTTTGGGTTTGGACTGTTAATCTTCAGATCTGAAGATGTCTCTGTGAAAATCTAAAACTCTACAGTAACCCTTCGGTTTATTCAAAGATGCAACGGTTTTTGACACTTTTGTAAAGGCAGCAAACTCGACCTCTCCTGTCTGAACTGCAGAAACACGATCCGTCACCGTGGCAGATCTTACACGCAGACCTGGAGTTGTAACAACCGGAGGGACCTTGTTTTATTAACATGGGCGGCTGGCAAAAGGTACGCCAGAACAATTATTTATGGACAAACAGAAGACAAGGAGACTTTAAAAATGTCAGGCAATTGTTGCGTTTTACAGTCGTCTCAGTGCTGGTTTGAGTTTCTGTGTGAACAGTTGAGGTGGCTCTTGAAGTGTTTATCACACAGTAACACCATCCTTTAACTGTATTAAGTAACATTTGTGTACATGAGAACTTAAAGGACAAGAGAAACGGTTGAATTTAGTTTGTCAGTTTCCCCCTCTAACGACAGGCCTGAAGGTTATTTTAACATGTTTCACTAAAGGATGAAGCTGATGTATAAAAACTCATGGACCAGTGCTAAAACAATGTTCAAAACAAACTCATAGCTTGATGGTGTTACCTGTGTATACGCAGCGTTAGAGCCGTCTGTGGCCACAACTGTCAGGTTGTAGAAGGAGCGCTGTTCAGCATC